AGATTGGTAAATTGCCAAAAAAATGCATAAATAGCAATTATTTTAAACAAATTCCAAGCACATAAAGACTGGTTTTAGTCTCGGCTGTGGAAAAAAAAATTCATGTAAATTGCAGTGTGTGTTTATTGCATTTTTTTTTTCCCTTCCAAACCAAGTGTAAAAGCTGGACTTCGGTCTGCTCCAGCTGCCTGGCAGAGGAATGGGGCTGCAGACACCTGCTCACAGCTGAGCCCCGTGCTGGTAAACCAAGAGCCAAAGGTACATGGCAACCGCATTTATCCCAGCTCTGCATCGTCAGCTGAACTCTGCTAGGAATGGGCTCTTTTTGGGGTGAAGAAAGGAATTGCAACGCAGAACTTAAGAGCCTGGCCCTTTGGTTCATCGCAAATTCAGGGGTGGGAGCCAAGAGGTTTGATCCCACGCTGCAGGTAGGAGGCTGCTCCCATCCTGGGATCGCAGCATCGCTACATTGGCTAAACAGCAACAAGCAGACTAAGAGGGTAAACATGGGTGAAGAAAACAAATCAGGAGCAATTTGAATGTTTATGGACACAGCTGAGCAAGCCCTTTGCTTTTCAAAGGCTTTCCCATGTTTAGGAAACAAAGTCATAACAAACACCTCCGTCTCACAAGTGGGCAAACTGGAGTTTTGCAATATTAATCTAATCACCGAGGTCAAAAACACAACTGGAATTGAATCTGACATGCACCCAGCAGCTCAGAGGCTCAAAGCAGCTCCCCAAGCAGGAAGGGGCTCACCCTGTCCTCTGTCAGGATGCAGGGGCTCACCCTGACCCAGGCTATAGTGCTGCTGAGTTCTCATTTTGTCCTCCCCACACAGTGTTGGCATTAATCTCTGTATGAGCAGATAGGGGTACTGCCCTCACCTAAGTAGCACTTTCCATTTACCCCTAGTGCTTCACTGCCCAGTCAGTGGTAACAAGGCCTCACCTGCAAGGCTTTTCTGTACTTCCTTACAACCTGTCCTTCCCTAAAAATAGCTCTGTCCCACCACCAGACTTCCTTGGCCAGCTGCTCCCTCCTATTTCTGTGTCATTTACTTTGAGTTATACCAGGATGGATGTGGCAACGCCCGATGCAACTTCTGCTCCCCCCCAGCACTTCTGCTCTCATCCCCAAGGGCATCATTCAGCCTTACTCATCTCCCACCTACTGGCTCCAAAAAGCACCTTAATTCTATTAGATCCCCTCATGTATGCAGGGCTGGCTCTACAGCCTTGCTTATGTTCTTTTAATATTATTTTTGGGTTTATAATTCAATCCAACACTGGTATGTGCTCTGTAACAAAGCGGGGCAAGGGAGGAGGAAACCATGTTTGGAGTAATCAGCAGTCTATGAGCTATGTCTGCTTTGTTAATTCTCACTTGAGGAAATCAAGTGCTGCCTGTTGTTGTATGGAAGCGTAACAAAATGTGACTGCCTACTGCTGGCAGCACAGCACTGGGCAGAGGCCACCAGAAAGCTGTGCCACTTGGTCTGGCTGGGAAACAATACAGGAACTACCCACAGTCACTGATGCCCCTAATTCACAGAGGGCTTAGGGGTGCTTTTTGTTCAGCTCTGATAAAAGCAATGCAGCACATAAGCCTCTTTGAGTCATCCTCTGCTATAAGATCAGCCATAAACAGCTGATTTCTGAGAGGCAGACGTATTTATAGGCTTGAGACAGAATATAGATTTTAAAATGCCACTTTTCTGTTTCAAAGTGATTGACTTGAATTTTTAATCCGTATAAAATTAATTCAGCTAATAAATGAGAATGGCTACAGAGTAAAATGAATTAAAGTTTCAGAAAATCATTAAGATTGATGTGGCTGCATGACCTGATTGGGCAGTGGGTTGTCACTCAGTGAACGCTGTTATCTAACTGTACTTGCATCCAGGTGCTGTGAGGACTTGTGGGCCATGATGTGTTGCCAGGCAAGGGCAGGAACAGCTTTGCTTCAGAGGAGCTTCTTGCTGAGCATTTGCAGAGCAGTGCTATTTAGGAAGGAGCCACAGCCTGCGTAGCAGTGGGGAGGACATGGAGCTTCAGGGCTCTGCTCTCCATCTTGCCTCTGACTTGCACAATGCTCTCATGCGTCAGTCACTGAGGGCTCATAGTATGATGACTGCAGGGCTGTGTGATTCCCAAAGGCTGAAATGAGTAAGGAAAGCCAATTGGTGCTGGGGCACAAAATGCCTCTGCCTTCTCCCTGCTGTGGATGCAATGAGAACTCACTGGGGGTACAGTCCTATCTACGGTCTCCAAGAAAGAAACCTTAAGGAGCTCACTGTTGCCATCCTTGCTCTGACGTGTCCACAGGCTGATCATCAGCTGCAACCACGTGCATTTCTGATCTCCCACTGAAAAAAGGCACTTTTCCCTCTTTTTAAAGTGCTGCTAAGACCTTTGAGAAAATGTTAAAAATGAATGATCCTCCTGTGAGCACTGGGTAATAAAAACTTGAAGTCCATCTCCCAAGAGGCGCAGTGTGCTTCTGGGTATATACTGTACTCAAGTTCTGCTGATTTTCTTAAATGCTTCCACTGTATTTGACAGAGGACACAAAACCACAGAGAACGTGCAGGGATTATAAGTGGTTTCTAAATCCAGTTTCTCACCCAGCTAATCAAATATCTTGTGCCACGCTCTTGCCTGATTGTATACTGAAGTGGGTGATTCTTTTCTGTACTATATATAATTCTATTGTATGAGACCCCCAGTTAACTTAGACAGCAGCGTGGCTTTGCTAACAAGTGTGACACAACGTACATGTAATTCAGCAGGCTGACATGAATGCAGACACTTTCAAAACCTCTTCTGCTCTCTCCCTCTCTCCTTTTCACTCCACAGGTTCTCGAGCTCAGCAATGCCCCTGCCTGTGTGCCGTGTTAAAACAGCCTGATTAAACTGACTCAGTAAAACACCAGATTATAGACATCCACACTAATAAGCATTTCTGATCCACGACTTTTACAGGGAACATCTGGAACCTTCTGGAAAATTGCCTCTTATTGCACAAGTCCAGGAAGCCTTCTCCAATAAATCATTTCTACCTTCCTACCGGTTCTTTCATTTCTTCCTTTGGGCAGAAGTGGTTCTCAGATCCCTACAAATAGCTTGATTCTGACTTAATATATGGAAATAGTGCTTTATGGACAATTTCTAAGGTCATGAGAGACTAATGTAAAAAGCAAGATACAGCCTATAACTCCATCATCTTCCTCATCCCTCAAGTGGAATAAAAGAACATCTGGCTCCGAATATCCTGGCACCACACTTTCATCCCACATGCCCAGCAAGCAGCTAGCCTGAGTGCACACACCTGCATTAGAGGTAATGACTGCCGAGCTTCTTTTGACTGAAGGAAGAAGGGGTTCTCAGTTCCCAAAGCAACTGAAGAGAGGAATTCCATCGCAGACCTCCCTGTCCTGCACAGTGCCTGATACAAAGGGAGGTTGCTCATACAGCAGTTTCTCTTGGCTCAGAAGGACTCATCACATTTCACGCTGAAACAGTGTCAGTGCTAGCTGGACAAAGATGCAAAAAGCTCTCTCTCTGCTTGGATAGCCATGTCTGCTCAGCCAGCATCTCTGGAAGCCCTTGGTCCTGGGCTCTGACAGCTCCTGCAGTTATCTGGACCCCCTGAGAGTCATTCACAGTTTCAGTGGAACCATTCATGCAAATCTCCCTCTCAAGAACAATAAAGGAATACAAAATTTAGCATCAATCTATTCAACCCCATCTGAAATAACTTCAGGCTGAGGTCTGTAACAGCTTAAGCGAGGCTGTGCTGCTGCCATAGCCACACACCATCTCCATGGGATGCTCGGGGGTGAGGAGCTTTGCAACAGTACACACAGCACCTTGCAGCAACTGTGTCTGTGGAGTCTCTGTGGTCACGTGCCTGAGGTTGGGGTGTCAAATGATGCCTTACTCCTCACTCTGTGGGACAGCAGTTGTAAAGCAAACAGGAAAATGCTGGCGCTTGCCAAAAACCTGGCTGTGCCACCTGAGTTGCTTTGCAGCACCAGGAGGGGCTTGTGCATGTATGCTCTGCTACCTTTGGGTTTGAAAGCAAGTGGGAGATGAGGGGAACAGACCACTTCACTGTATGGAAGGTGCAGCTGTATGTCATCTGTCCTTGGAACCAGGTGAGAAACATGTAGGTACAGTGATCACTCCCACAGGCCTCTGCTCCCAGCTGCCTTCTGCAGTCATTTCTATCAGCATGTCAGCCAGCTCAGAGCTGTTGCCCTCCCTAAGAGAAGAACAGCATGTCCTGAGCAGTCAACAAAAGGACAGGGAGCTCATGAGAGAGATATTCAGGTAAAAGCGAGGACAATTATTTTTATTTGACAATTTGATTCAAGGTCTGTTTGTTCTCTGCATTGATACCGTTGCAGATTCATTCCAGTTCAGAAGCTGTCACACAGGGAAAAGGGAAATAACAGTCTGGCTCCTTTCTCTTGGCATCTGAACAACGGTTCCTCAGGAGCACTCAGGAGGCCAGTAGCATGTAAATGCTTTTCCTCATGGTGACACTGACAGAACTTTCTGGTAGTAGAGCAACCCCCTTCAGCTACTCACAGCTGCACGTACCTTTGGTGCAACATCATTATGCAACACAAGCTCTCCCACTTTTCTCTCCTTGTGCCTCTCATACTTGCGCAAGCAGAAGCTGAGATGGAGCCCTGCAAATAGTGTCTGAGAGCCCCAGCCCTCCTTTTCTGAGTGTGCCCTGCTCCCAGCTGCATCAGAGGTGAGTTTTAGACACTGGACATCACTGAACTGCAGCCCAGGAGGGCACAGCTGTCTCCAGTCTATTCAGAAGGAACCTATATGGCACAAACATGTGCTGCCAGTGTGCTTGAGCACCTAATGATGCAGGCGGCTGGGATGTGCACTAGTATTTACAAAGAGATCTAGACTTGCTGCATCTCTGAGCCCCTTGCCTTTCTGGGTCACTACGACTTCCGCAATCATCCCGCTCACCAGGACTAATGGAGCACAGATGTACTCTCGAGGGAGTGTGTGAACCAGAACCCTCATCTCTGGAACACTTCCAAGCAAGAGCCATCTCCTCACCATCACGTAGCCCAAAGTACCTAAGGAGAATAGAGCAGGAAATTAGGCAAAAGAGGAAGTTCATACTGCTTTTGCTACATGATCCCTTTCAGTTTCTCAAGCACAATTTATATTCGCATCTTCAGAGGAAAAGTTTTGTGCTAACAAGAAGGAAACAACCACAATGAGATATAGATCTGCAATGCTTTAATTAAAGCACAGCAAGACAGTGAACAACAGCAAGCCTCTCGAGTGTTTCACAAGGCTCACCTGAGTCATTACTGTTTGCCTTGTAGGTTGCAAGGTGTCTATGACTGCTGGCTTGAAGGGCATGGAGCACATGGGACAAGCTGAACCCAGCTGTGAGGCAGAGGCGTGTATTGGTGCTTGTCCAAAGCGAGGGATGCAGGTGCACAGCTAGCAAGGAGAAGGTGGCCTGGCAATGTGTGACTGAGCTGTGGTAGGGCAGGGAGAAGAGGCGTCTTATTCTAGACTGAAGACTAGAAGTGTCTTAAAAAGAAAGATGAGTCATTGAAAGTGTGGCCCAAGCAGATTCAGCCACTGTGATGGGAAAAACCCATACTTCGGATTTACTACTTTCGACAGCAAAGACTGCCAGAATGTTTAAGTGGATAATCATAAGCAGAACTAAGAGGTGGTCTGTGCTGGGCAGAGAGAGTTCTCCCCATGACCTGCCAGCAAAACACCAGCAGGAAGCAGTGTGGTGATAGCCATGGCCAGAACTGGCAACAAGGACACAGAGGCCTTTTTAATATTGCAAAGACAGAAATTAAATCCTTCTCCTGTTACGCAATGCTTCCCTTTCCTCAGCAGAGATCAAATCAATATGGGCCATGCAAAGTCAATGGTTTATTTCAAGGGGTTTTGAATTGAGCTTTGTAGGCAAAGAAGCATCAAGCCGTGTTTCAAACTCCGTGAAGACACATTGGTATTTCCATTCCATGTCTATTTGTAGGACAGAAATGTGATTTTGTTCCTCTTTAATCCTGTTGGAATGTCAGAAAAGAATCCCTGAAGTTATTTGGAGGAGGCTCAGAGGAAACCTCATTGCACTCTACAACTTCCTGAAGGGAGGCTGTGATGAGGAGGGGTTTGGCCTCTTCTCCCAGGCAACAAACAGGACCCAAGGAAATGGTCATGAGTTGTGCCAGAGGTGGTTTTGGGTTAGACATAAGGAAAAACTTTTTCTCTCAGAGAGTGGTCAGGCACTGGAATGGCTGCCCAGGGAAGTGCTGGAGTCACCGTCGCTGGCAGTGTTCAAGAGGCGCCTGGATGAGGAACTATGAGATATGGGTTAGCAGCTTGTGGTAGCAGTGGTAGTGGGAGGATGGTTGGACTAGATGATCTTGATCTATATACAATTTGCAGGTTGTTTCCAACCTTGCGATTCTATGATTCTATGATTATCCCTGGTGAAGGCTGGGGATCCCACTTGTTAGAAAGCATGAATCACCTCCAGGTAAGCAGTCTCATAGCATTAACTTTCTAATTCCTCGTGCCTTCTTCTGGTTTATTTGAGCCTCTCAGCACCACTTCCATGGTGGCAATTCAAGCAGACAAGAACATGTGCATATGCACTTATATGTACATCATTACAACACAGCCACCAAACCACACCAACAGTGTTAGCAGTTTAGCACAGATCTGTCTGAAGGAAGTTAACAACAGCAGAAACAGAACATTCACATAATTTCTGGAGAAAAGCTACAATGGTAGGCCTGCTTACATAACTGATTTAGTGCTACAGAATTGCTTTCTGCCTTTAATCTGCTCAACAGTTTATCTTTGCTGTCGTGATCGGTTGAGCTTTCTTTAAACCATTATGGATTAGCATTCTGCCATAACATGTTAAAAGCTTAGCTTTGTTTATTTTTGTCAAGAATGGGGGAGGGGTATCAGGTTCAATTGCTCAGGCAGCAGGTTATGGATGGTTATTTTTCTTACAATCAACAAATGGAAGTGCCAAATGCAAGGCACAGCCAAATATTTCCAGAGATGGTACTGGTGGCTGGAATATCTGTGAAATTGTTAAAAAAAACCAAAACCCTACACATTAAATAAAAAGAGGAACTTCAACATTTTTCATAATTATTTTACTCTGTAAATAATAACACGTAATCCAGCATTCAAAAAGTTCATCCCACCCACCAGCTTTTATGGAATACTGAAGAGTAAATGGTCTAAAAACTTAATTAATAAGGCTGATTAATGGTTTTACCACGTTTGCATTATTGTTGCCATTTGGAGACAAGTCCTGCCAAAAGCAATCTTACTGTCATTCAGCTGCAGGACGATAACTCACCATCGTGCACATAAAACACCAAGCAAACTGCACCTCAGCCACACTGCTCACAACAGAAGTTCAGGTAACATTCCCCATCCGTTCATGTGCATTTTCACAGTGGGTTCATAACACTGACAGCAGACCTATTAGAAGATTATAATACAAATCTATGCCTGATTTTCTACTATCAATTGACAGCAATACCATTTTAGACCAAATCCAACAATTAGCACACTTATTCTATTCAAACTCTGTGTAATCCAAGTGATTTGCAGATGCCAGAATGGAGTAAGAGGCTGTGATCCTGAGTGCTGCCAATAACCCTCTGTGCAGCTCTACATTTTCCAAAGAAACACTAATACTGTGACCTGCCATGCAGGCAACCGTACAGCTCTGCAGCTTCCACATCCAAAAGGAAGCAAAGAAGCACTTCCACGTTCCTAAAAGCAACACACATACGCCAGCGAAGTTTGAAAAGAGAACTGTCTCGTGGTGCTGTGATAAAAACATAAAATTGGGAAAGTCATTCAGAAAAGAGGAGGAAAAAAATCCATCTTGTTTGTGATCAGTGTACTGTTTTACTTTCTTATCAGGAGGAATCTCTATCCCACACATTCCAATGAATGGCCACTTGCTATTACTGTGTCTTTCTGACGGCAAGCGGAGCACTGCTCCAGAGTTCCAACATTCCCTTGGATGCTGCTCTGGTTAATGCTTGCGTGCTATTTAAACAAAGCATATTCCAACTAAATCTGACTATATATGGAATTCCCTGACAAGGAAAAATTTGGATGCCCTACAAAAAAGAACCACGAAAACGGCAAATGCACACAAACACACAAAACACTCTGAACTTCCCCAAGTTGAAGTGTACTAGAAGAGGCTCTTAGTGGCAAAGGTCAGGTACCCAGTGTGACCCACCATCTCCCTCAGTGGCACGCCGCTTTTGAACTGCACCACTCCTTGCTGCAGATTAGTGCCTGGGCTACCTTGGTTTGATGGGTTGCTGCTGTCAAAGCCAGCGCTAGAATTATCCTCAGCTGCTTTTCCAAGGTCAGGGATTTGCAAGCTAATTGTCCTTACATTGTATACTCGGAGCAGAATTTCCAAGGTGTTAATCTCTGTAAAACCGTGCTCTTCCATTGCTAGGCAAGTTCTCTGGACTTGTTCAATGCAGGGGGAGAAAGAGCAGATGCGGCCACCTGCAAAAGAAGACAGGTAGTAGATAAGAGGGCAAGAACACAAATGAAGCACTTTTTCTATTTTTTCAAATTCTCCTAGCTGCAAGTAGAATTACAATTAGGAGCTGGACTCGATGATTCTTATGCGTCACTTCCAACTTGGGATATTCTAAGATTCTGTGAATTATACAAAAATAAAAACATTCTGAAAGAAAATCTTCATCAGGCAACTCTGTGGGATCAAAGCGTCAGCATCAAGCAGGGATGATTTCACAAGATGCATCAGACTCTTTGAAAACTGCAGAGGCAAACTCACTCATCTCCCAAAGCCAGCGTTGCCCACCACACTTGTTCATGATAAAACTCCTAAAGTCAATCCCCTCAGAGCAGTGCCTCTTTCGGAGTCACTATCCACTGTTCTGGGCCAAGGCACTGCTCTGAAGCTGGCAACTACACAAAGCCAGAAGTCATTCTCCACACACTGTTCAGAGCTGCCTTCATTAGAATCTAAGTGTGCGTGCACACACGCTCCGACAAAAGCGGCTGTGTTTATTTGGGAATGATGGTATGCGTGTACAGAATAAAGTAATCTCTCCAGGCCATAGATGGAGTGCTGTTAAGACTTTACCCTTTTAGTCAAGCTGACTAGCGTGTCTCTTGAGCATTAAAATTTACTGAATACCACATTGGGCAGTTTCACAGCGAATGCACCAAACCACTAGCAAAGGGCTCTTAGTGACAAACTAACACTCACCTCCTCCTCTGCGCGTGGCTCAGTTTGGATTCCACATTCAGAACACTAATAGGTTCCCTACAACTTTCTGCTGGCTACAATGTCACCTTAACAGCTGAGAATAGAACGATTCAGATTTACCCTGAAAAGCCACAGCCAAATCAGATCAAAGAATTATAAGGACACTGTCTGCCACAAAGCCAGGGCATGTGCTTTCACCCAGGACACAGTGTCCCACGAGGGACGCTGCCCTTCCTGAAAAGCTTTTGTGCTGGGGGAAGGAGCTGGACAATGCAGCTTCAGCCAGTGTTTCACTTCTTACAATTAGATGAAAATGCGTGCTGACCTAATTTGCATTCCTTCCCAGCCTTCTCCCAGGCTCATCCCGTTGAGCCTCCCAAGCCCTGTTGTCTAAGCAGTTAAAAAACCCGTGCAGCTGAGAGCAAAGCATCCTGCTAAAAATAGAGGCAATGCAGGGGCTACACGAGGCCTGCTTTATCTCAAACTCACTCTTTTTTTTTTTCCCCCCCTTCCTCATTTCTAAAGTCACATCTCTAAAAAAAGAAAGCATCAGGTCTGAGAGTGTCACTACAGCACTCCAGTTACTGCACAGCAATGATGTGCCGGGCACTGATTGGGGAAGAACACTTTCCATGACCATTAATCCACCACACACTAAGCAGGATTTAATTTTAGTCCTGGGATAAAGTCTCCACAGCCAGCAGTTCTTATCATGCATCTTCAGAACAAAGTACCCCAGACAAGTAATTCCCTGGAGTGACAATTAAAGAACAAATCTAATAACCTCCTGCAAAATTAATGCTGGTTTGTGTCACTATTAACCAACTCTCGGGATGCCAATTTAATTGCGCACCCGGTCTGCTAGATCCCATGAAATTAGATTTATATGTTTATCAGCACGGTCAGCACTACCAGAACTGCATCCAACAGCTCTTCCCTTCTGGCCAGGCAGTACACTGCCATGGTTGTAGACATAAAAGAGAAAAGCTCGAGAAGAAATTCTGTTACGTAACTAGAAAGTTACTATAATGACCATATGCCATAGAGAACGATGCCATGTTCTTATTGCGCAGGGAACTGAACAAACGTCTAACTTAGCTAAATGTCAGCTCACAGTAACTCTTTGTCTGTGAAGAAAGAATCTGCACTGAGATCTGAGACTTACTACGATTTCATTCAGGCTTTTCATTTTTTGCATTCATATTGAAACAAAAGATGGCAACGTATTTACATTTACAACAAACCTGTTCTCCTCATTTACTCCGACTGCAAAGACTTCAAGACGTCTTTAGGCACAAGCCGTGGATTCACAGAGGAAAAGTAAGAAGCCTGCACACAACTGCGGCAACACAAGCTGCAGACCCGCCTACGGCTTTTGTCAAGCCTCCAATTAAAGCCAGAGCAACCTTCATTTTGCCTCAGGATGGTCAGCTGAGCACAGCATGGCAGCACCAAACTTGGTGTTAATTTATCAGGCTGCCTCCTCACAAAGCAGGCTGCTTAGGGAAGCTGGGCTACAGAAAATGGGCTTCTGAGCCACTGCGTAGAGAAGGTGCTTGTGATAGCTGACATCCAGATGGCGTCTGTCAAACAGGCGAGGAGGTCTTCTTTGCTGTCTCCTCTCAACATCACCCTACAGGCTGGGTTGGACTCATGGGCTGAACTTGTTTCATTAAGCAGGTGTTAAGAAAAGGTTGGAAGGCTGCAATTAGCAGAAGGCTTGAAGGTAGAAATGAAATCGCAGCTCCAGACTTACAGAGACTGCCTAAAATAGATTTGGGATGCTTCATTTGCCATGGTGTTTTTAGCTGCAAAAAAAAAGTGGACTCTGAGCAAAGGAAAAGCAGCACTGAGAAGGACATGCTCTTCTGCTGAAGGAGCAGGACTTCCAGGTGCAAGCCAGGTTCATGTTCTCTCAGAGCTCTCCTTTTAGGAAAGCTACTGTTCCTAAATTTGTTTAATGAGACCTGTGTGTCATCATAAATGGATACAGCAATTATCTGAGATTAATCCTGCTCACATTGGGAAGCCGTGTGAGCTTTTTGATCTGAAGAGCTGTCTAAAAATGTGTTTATTCATGTATAATGCCTCTGACAAGTGCTAAAGTTGAAAAGAAAATAATGAGTCTGTATTAAAGACTTACATTTCTTTTTCCACCTTCAATTTTACAGAGAGTGAGTTTATTTGAAACATTTAATGGAGAGGTTAAATCTGAATGTGTAGGCTGGAAGGTGCCCACACAGTCCTGGCAGCCACTCTAACCAGCAGTGGGGTCAAGAGCCTATGAAAATTAAAGTACAATTGGAACAATTAGAGGAGAGAGCTTAGGGGAAGGGGAAGAAATAAAAGAGAGCATTTGCATCTACAAAGCACTGTACATTTTTTTTAAGCATGGTATTGAAAGTGTCTAATTAATAATCAAGAGACACACCTTGCTATCTTTACTAGAGATCAGTGCCTTGGAAATTGCTCCTCCTTCCAGCACAGCTCTTGGCGTGCTTCTGTGCAACTCCACCAAGCAACTGCGTTTCTGGTTTGTGTGAGCAAAGAGTAACACCTCTACCAGTTCTACTTACCTAAAATCTGCACGAGGTATCCAGCATGGAAAATCTGGCAGTGCTACCAATGGACACAAACTCAATGCATCCTCATGATATGAAAACAACATGTGTCCAAGTTACGTGCCCTCTCTTTTGCAGGTTGCTGTATGCGTCACAAGTACTCTGCTAGGTTTGCTCATCATCACAGTATTACTCAGAGGATGTGAAAAGAACATATGTAGTGCAGCACTGCTAAGTTCCTGAGAAAAGGGCCCATAATTTTGGAAATGGTTCTGTGACGCAGAAAATGCAGCACAGCATTTTTATTTCTGGTAAGAGAACACAGCTCCGGGTTTTGGGATTTCAGAGCTTTGTGATAATTGGAAGATTATGTTACAAAGATCCCATGGCATGATCATTATGTAGGGGCGAGGCAGGAAAGTCACAGAGCAGCATCACTATGGCATTTACTCTGTGCTAGCAGGACACTAAAAATATTGCCTCTGCAAAAGGGGACAAAATGTCCTTTAAATGAATGTGCTCGTGGGCGATTTGATGCAGCTTCCTTGACAAGTGAAATTAGAGGATTTGGCTGTTGTTAGAAATTAAAGGATGTTTCTTGATTCAGAAAAGAAAAATTTTTCCAAATCAATTGCCAGCTCTTTAATGGGAGCTTAATGCCATTTTCTGCAAATGTGACCTTAACCTGTGTTTGTAGGTGCACCCTTCCAAAGGAATTCATTCCTACTGACTGCTATGGAGCTGGCTAAAGCATGTATCAAAAATGAAAACAAAAAAAACAAGTTGGCACCAAATTCGTGAAAAAAATCTAACAACTTCCTTTAAGATTCCCTTCATCCCCAGCTTCTTTCTACAAGCTGTGCAAAGTCCAACAATTTTGGACAGCGTTCCACAGCATGGATTACAGTGCAGGAAACCTGCTTAGCTCACGACAGGTGAGGGAATCATTTCTGCTTAGACTGCTGGGCCAGACCCATTGTGTGCAGCTGAGCTAAAAATCCCTGCAACCTCAGCTAGGTTAATGCCTTCCAACAAGATACGCCAGCCGTGCTTAGCTCAGCAAGTACTGCTTGGGAACCAGATGGAATTTGAGAGTTAGCACCTACTTCTGATCCTAGCAGGGCAGCTCTGCGCTAGACCAGATGCTCCCTCAACACTGGGAGGTTGTTTCAAACTATCATACAATTATAGAATTGTTTGAGGTGGAAGAGATCTTTAAAGGCCATCTAGCCCAACTCCCCTGCAATGAAGAGGGTCACCTACAGTTAGATCAGGGTGCTCAAAGACCTGTCCAGCCTGACCTTGATTATCCTTAACTTCACCTTGAGCAAATTCTCCTTCAAATCAAAGCAGATGGCACTAATAAAGGCTGGTGATGGTGTTTTACAGACACATATGGCTTCATTCATTTATTCCAAAACAACCTCCTATGGACATGAGAAGCATTGATACCATCTTGTGTACCACCTGCATGGGTGGAGGAAGAAAGTCTAGACAGCACACTAGACTGACAGGCTCCACTTCCTGCCCTAACACATTCCCTGTGTGCTCCTGAGGCAGCTGAGGTTCAACCAGCAGCAGCCTCACGTTGCTGCCCTCTCAGCATGGTTCAGCCCAGGGGGCTCCCAACACAGCTGCCATGGAAGTGGCTAAAGATTTCAGCTGCTCCTCAAAGCCATACCTGGGTGGTTTGAAAATGGGACCATGAATAACCTCTAGGGCTCAGGAAAAATAGCCAGTGAGAATTTCTGCATGGAACTGGTATTCCCTGAAAGCATCAGGGAGGAAGGAAGCAAACCTAAATGAAAATTAAATCCTTTACCTACACCACAGGCTACTGGGAGGTTGGGGCGTTATTTATTTGCTTATACAGCAACCGTAAGAACCAAAACTGGCAAGTTAGAACAACAATCAATGGCTATGGTAGAGGAAAGAATGCAAGCAAGACCTGTTTTAAGTCCACTGTGAACTAACAAAACAGACAAAAGACTTTGGAAATGAAAAGCAACTACCTCTAAGAAGAGCAGAGTATTCCTAAAAGGTTTCTTCAATGGAAGAAACACAGAGGCCCATACAGGGAAGTGTTTGGAGGGAACTCCCACTGCAGGGCTTTTTGGGGAGACCTGAACCGTGTCACTCAATCCAGGTGAGATCACACAGATCACTATTTGACAAACTCGTAATTTAGGGGCTTTATGGAGAGAGGACATGAAGGTTGAACATAAGAAAGAAGCTTCTTTACAATAAGGGTGGTGATGCACTGGCACAGGCTTGCTCAAAAACGTGGTGGATGCCCCATCCTTAGAAACAGCCAAGGTCAGGCTGGACGGGGCTCTGAGCACCTGATGGAGCTGTGGGTGTCCCTGTTCAGTGCAGGGGGGTTGGACTGGATGGCCATTAAAGGTTCCTTCCAACTCTAACAATTATATGTACATATGTATGAAATAGGCAATACTTAGAGAGCAGAGTAGGTGGGTACAGAATTATAACCAAAGCACTACAGTATTCAGCTGGGAGACGACTGAGTCAAAAGTTTCAGGGTATTTAAGCACTGTAGGATGTGGAGGATATTTCTGTTACCTCTCATTTTTTTCATTCTGTTAAATTATTCTTTTTTAAAAAATCTAGCCTCAAAGGGTTAACAGCAACTTTGCAAAAAACCACCAAGGTCAGATACTGCTATGACTACAGAAAAGCATTCATCAGCAGATGCTGCAAAAGGAAAACAGTGCAGGTCTGGAACAGAAAGCAAGTTCTGCAGTGCAGCAGTGCCTGAGAGATATTACAAGCAGCATTTCTGCTTGAAAGCTTGACTGGTGAAATGAGCACAGAAGGATGCAGCTGAGATGCAAGCCTGAGCATCAGCAGAGCATGTCACCAGAGAACAAGAACCTTCGAGTCAAAAACACTCTGTGCATTTTTATCCCTTTAGCTCTTCACAAGTTGGCAGTGCACTAAACGGGAGGCCAAGCTATCGTAAGCAGCATATTTGCAGCCTACTGGTAGGCATAACGTGAGCGATAAATGTACTCTGTGAAGAGGATCATTAACACTCAGCCTACTAGGAGCTGCAAGACTCAGGATCTTGAGCATAAGTAGGAGAGAAAATACTGATTTGATAAGCATTTGTTGAGGTCGAGAACTCTCTCTTACATGCAATCTCAGCTGAAAACTCCATAAGGAATATTGTGGTTCTAAAGAGGAGGTTAACTGGATGCTATATATTGAATTCATTCAGCACTGACTTCAACCTCATTACCTTACCACCTCAGCGAATGAATGACCACCACCTGGCAGCACACAGATGCAATGTTTACATTGTGCATCACAATAAAACCTGCCACGTGATCCTGTCCAGATGCACGAGAGAGGATACGGAGGGAAAAGAGTGCAAGGGCTCATTGCCTCCAGTGATGCCTTCTACCGAAATGGAGGTGAGCAGCAGCAGTACATGCACAACCTGTTCTTACTGCAGAAGAGCTGTAACTATTTGAAAACAGCAGTAAGCAGCTTCACCCTCTGCCTGATGAAATGCACACGACGTCACTTTACAGACAAAAAAAAAAAAAAAAAAAAAGCAGGGTTTTAAATATTTTTAATATTGGCTTAGCAGATTAACCTTGTAGCACAGAAAAGTGTAGCCAAAGAGTACTCTCAGTTTGGTACTATGGGATCTTTTATCTGTTTTTCAAATGCTGGAGTGAAACAGGGCTTCAAACCTTGGAATTGCTCAAGCAGCCCTGCTCAGTATTCTGAACATGCACCACTTAAATAATTCAAACTGGGCTGCGCAATGCAGCGCCTTCTAAGCTGGGAAGTCAGCTGAGTGCTCTGCTCACTAGATTAGATAATTTGAGCATGGGAAGGGCATTGTACAGTGCAGTGAACATTATTTTTTTCCCAGGACACACTGGAAAGCAGCTACAAATTCAGCTGTTATCTTTGCAGGTACAGAGTGCTAATTAGTCTCTTTTTATTTATTTACTTTTTAAAGAATGCGTTGTATTGGAAAGCTTCCTTGAAAATTTTCCATGGTAGTGGGGGGAGCCTACAGCCTGGGTTGGTCCTGACTCAAACACACTCAGTGACCTTTAAGAACAAGCTTAAATCCTGTGATTTAGACCAAGCAATTTACCTAAAGTCAGTACGCTGCTAAAGTCATGTCCCAGCATGGGCACTGTTCTGCACTCCATACTCTCTTGATTAGAAAAGTCACTTCATAGCCTGGCAGAAGTTAGCTCAGATTCACAGCAGTGCAGCTACATTGGCAGAACAGCAATCAGGGGAAAACTTATTTCAGGATAGGAGAATGGTTTATTCCCTACTTTTGAATAGGGAAAGGATTTATTACAAACAGACAAAACCCATCCAATCCCGCAGTAGCAGTCTCCACTTGTTGTCATCATCCAGGAGCAGCTGGCACAAGCTGGAACACCCTTTAAGTTCAATTCCTACTGCAGCCAATGTCATACTCCCCATTAGCTCTGACAGCAGAGATTTAAGGTAGAAATCAGCATGCATATTTAAGAATAACCACATTTTCTTTAACATTATTGATGTGGAGCATTGTTAAAATGGTCCAATCTGCAATGATTGATGTAAAGTGATTCTGAACACCTTTTATACAAACACCTTTCCACTGAAGTGCCAAAGAAATTTGCTCTCAGCATTCATTGCTGCTGCTGCCTCCCACACACCCTCAGATCTACAAAACGCACTAGACAAAGGTTCAAACATTGTTTTCTTTTATAAACTGCCCATTAATTATAGCAGCTAGCACAGACCTGTAGGAAAAAGTTGTTCTGCTCTTTTCAAATCTTTCCCTGCGAACTGAAAACCTCTTTTTCATCCTTTGAAATGCTTAGAGACTTTGAGATTTGAGAACAGCGATCACATAATGGAAAGGAGCAGATCTAACATATAGCTGAGAGGCAGAGATGGTACTTCCTATAAAGAGCTAGTACAGTTACCTTCAGCTTTTAACGCCGACTTTGCATGTCCGATGGCTTCCCATGGAGATGGAATATCCAGGAACACAGCATCTGCAATGTCTGAGACACCAAATCCATTCTTGCAGACATCCTGGTTGGTCACCGTGACCAGATGCTCTACTCCATGCTCCCGAAATTCCTCCTTGGCCTTCTCAGCTCTCTGTTGGTGGAACTCCACTGTGTACAGGTGCCCCGTGGGAGCCACTGTCCTGATGAGAGCGTGGGACAGGGATCCGCTGCCTGTACCTAGAAAAGAAGAGCAGCCTGTGAAATGCCTTTTGATAGTGCTAGGCACTGCTAGATGGACTAGATGACCCAGGAAACAGTTTTCAGGGTCCTCAAAATGTTAATTAAAAATCTATGAGTAAAAAACAATGCCAAGGGCCAGCAATATAGCTATAGCTCTAACAAGGGCTATAGAAGAACATCAGGAATTAAATGCAGTGGGAAAATATGAAGAAAATTAACATAGATTTTTTTTTGCAAGTGCAAGACTCTTCTAGGGTAAAAAGAGATGAAGGCAAAGTTCTGCATATTTTCAAAACCTTACATTTCATTAAAACAAGAAAGAGATGTTGGCAAGAGCCTATGTTTGAAAACCCTACTGGGATCTATGCAGACAGCCAACCTTTATGTCATGGAAGCTGTTTTGCCCAGGCCTCTTGTCACACACCGGCCATCCTCAGCACACCCTGAAATTGCCCAGAGTGGAGGCCCCTGGGCTCCCTGCAGTCACACCAAGTGACCTGACTGCACAGGTGGCTCACCTGTACAAGTCTACACTGTCTAGCAAAGTCTAATGAGATCTGCCACATACCCAAAACTGAACATAAGTACGACTACCATGTACAGTCACAGACTAACCATTAGGATACAGACTTTTTCCTGTTTGAGCTTGGTAATTTGGGAAACTTATTTTTAATGATCCATTGGCATGTTAAATACATAATGACTAATAACCAACGTTTTCACTGAAGAAAACAGCCATATACCGACTCGTATTGCAAATTACTCACTGAAGTGGCATTTAGCAGAATAACCCACCAAACTCAAAGCCCCACAGCAACCCCAAATTACCTGTGTTTATTGATTTATAATTCTGTACTTGGAACACACTTTTCCTGTAGAAAGAAAATCTATTTCTAGCTATCTTCAGTGACTGTTCAGGCTAAATTTCAGCCTGAAGCAAGTTCTTTTAACTACCGCAAATCATAAAAACTATTGCTGAAGGACAGAATCTAAACAACAGCAGTGGTGGAGAAAGCTCAGAAACCAGCAGAAAGGAAATTAATTAGAGGACTCAGAGGTTGGTATGCAGCCTAATTGGGGCAATGCTTTCCTGACTCGGACAGGAAGTCAGAGTTTAGTGACAGATCTAAGGTCCTTGCCCTCTAGTCACATAAGGGGTGAAATATTGCTAAGGCACTGGATTTGAGCTGACAGCTCTGAGAAGGGAGCCATTCAGACCATGAAGAGCTCAGGGCCCACATCTGACATGACCAACCGAACGCTCTGCAGAATGGGCACCACTTGCCTGCATCCCTCTGGGAAGGCCCTGACCCTGGCAGGCACAGCAGCACTTTCTCCAGCTTTAATGGGAGGGAGGACCTCAGATTTTAGCACTGGCCCCAAAAAAGTCCAATAGGAAATTAAAACTGGAACATAAACAATTACTTTAAGTGAAAATTCATGCATCCACACCAGTATTACAATAAAGCAAGCAGAAGACAGAGGGCAGTTACCTGTGCACACGTGACAAATTACCCACTTGCGCTACCAGCTGGATCTAAATATTGACATAAACTTTTCACTGGTCAAAACAATTAATGGTATCATGGCAGCCACGTGGCTGCAAAAGCTCAATAATGAACACACATAGCAAAGAAACAGCATTTCACATTTTTTTGTAATGACAAAAGCAGGGATGCCCATAAGATGCTAAACGACTGAAATCTGCCATTGTGTTTCACACCAGAAAGCGGGACTGCATGACTGAGAACTTCTGCAATCCTACAGAATGTAATTTTTTTACCTTCCTAACAGGCAGTGCTGCTGACTTTTTGCATTGTTCTCAGCTCATCTGTAAGAGTGAATGGGAGGTCTGCCAGCACAGCTGGGATGGACACAGAAGAGAGGCAGCCTGTGCACGTATCCAGTTTCCTTGTTCATATCTTTTACATTTTTAATCTGCTTTTCGAACCACCAGAGAAGATACAGTTTGTCTCCTTCCTACAAAATCCTGTTACACTGTTCGGTTTGTTTTCCAGTACTTTTTTTAATTCATGAACACTCCAAAGCCAAACCCAGCACCAAAAACAGGATGCTGGAAGTCATCGCTTGCGGGCGTGTATTACAGACTGAGCTTTTGTCAAACAAGGTTGCCAGGAATTATTTGTTGTTGACTGGCTACTGCAAACATGAGGATAATACAAACACATCACTAATGAGAAGAGTATTTCTGAAGATGCTGCCTGCCTCCTCCATGACAACACTCTCCAAACTGCAGGAAACAAAGAACAAGGTGGTGAATCATCCACCATTGCAAAATTTCTTCTTTTCTTGAAGTGATCACAGAATCTGAACCCAATCCCATGAAATGATGATGACCTCGGCTCTCATATGCCTGACAGTTAACACACTTGTTGTGGTTCATCAATCCTCACTGGGGTCTGGCACAACTCCTAATGCTGTCTACAGAAGGCAGGTTCAAATCTTTATTTCTCTTCTATTATAGAAGGGGAAATTAATGTTTATATTCACCTCCTCCCCTGCAAATCTGCAATATTTAACATCTGAGCTTTCTCAGCACCTTCTCAACTCCTTTTTCATTTCTCTCCATCCATCTCTGACACCTCTAAGCTCAGAGGAGTGCTTCTACCCTCTCCCAAGACAACAAAACCAGCACAGATTTAGAAGGATTTATATCCTAACGAGTGGACACCTAGATGAAACATTCAGGCTGAGTACCTATTGATACCTGTTTCTGATTTACAAACAGCAAAGTACTGATCACATGAACAACCCACCAATTGCCCTGACCTCAAAAAGGTTTGTTCTTCTCACCTTCTGCTGATTCAAGAGACATGTTTTCCACAGAGAAGCCTCCACGCACCTCAGCATCATGAGGCAGCATCCACACTAAGATCATTCCTCATTTCAAGGCTGCAGCAGACAACATCTGACCCCTTCAGAAATAACACCTGCTGCTTCAATACTGTGTAGATACACATCAGGAGAGCAGTCGAGAGAAACACAAGCATTCCAACAGCATCAAATACAGCACTTGAGGGAGAGCTGAATAAGAGGGAACACACTTCCACTGTTTTCTGTTTAGTCTGGTTTTCTAATTTGCTTATCCTCCTGGAATCCTACCCGTGCTGCAAACACAAGAGACCTGATTTTATGTTCCACTACGTTTTCTCTATGCTTGCCTGCCCCCAAAGTTTCCTTTCCATGGGCTTTCCCTTTTAAAGAAAGGAAGTAAAACTGTGATTTCGAACCCATAGATGTTTACAGCTGTGCTTATTCAAAATATTTGCCAGGTTTATTACAGCAGGTTTGTAATCCAAACTAAAGCTGAGGAAGCTCTTAAGTGCATACATTGGTTTATATAACACAAAAACAGGAAAAGTGGTGTCATTAATTTCTGGATCGATGCAATATCTAGTAACATTTTAATAGAATTGAAGTATCTGCTGCAATATTTGGCTACACAAGATATTATAAACCGGTCAAATAGGAGAAAACAATCAGTGTTGCTCTATTAGTCTCCTAGCTACCGCACTTAAACCTAGCAAATAATAAGACGGGTCATGAGTCAGCCATGAGAACGGATGGAGCCTCAAAACCAAAGGAGAATTAATCTTTAGGCACAGCTAAAAACTCCACAGCCAGTATCTAAAGAAACACAGGAACACTGCTCACTGTACGTGACAAGTTTATGTAATGGCAGAAACGTTTTAGTGAGTATATGGTGAGATCTTAATCTGATAGTTCTAACTCAAAAGTCTTTCTGTGAGGGCAGTCAGGCACAAATCATGGTGAAAGAGGTGAGAAACTGCAAGATCAGGGACAGACGGAGGCAGGAGGAGAGGGAAAAGGAAATGGCCTGGCTACTGCAGGAGAGATGGTGCATGAAGCACTTCCCCTTACAGATGACCTCCTACTCTTGCATTTCTGCTGTGGACATGCTGCCCAAATGGGCATTTTAGGAAGCAGGCTGGAGCCCAAAGAAGGCCACTGTTCACTGGATGCAGGAGCTGGGGAAGGATGGCATGGAAGTTTTCAAGGCTGGCACAGCCTACAAAAGGAATGGGAATGTGAAGACTGAAAAGAATTTGCTCTTAAGAGATCCAAGAGGCAGAGTTCTTTAGGGAGGGATCTTCTGCAAAATGGAGGTGATACTGTGAAGTTCAGAGCTGCATGAGAAATGCACTTTGTGGTCAAACAAAATGGTAAGATGAAAGGAAGCCCGGAAAGCCTGGAAACAAGAACTTCAGGGTACCAACAGCATTCCTCAGCCACAGGGCTGCACCCAGCACAGAGATGCCTCATGTGGCCACAGTTCTACTTCAGATGGTGGTTATGCCAAGAGAATACTGTGCTCTCTGATGTTAATACAGATGAAGCTTTTCTTCTACTTCAGAAGGTGTTACAAAGAATCACATATTCAAGTTCTTCTCTTTCTTACCTGCTAAGAGGCAGATATGGGAGACATTATAAAACTTAATTAATATGAATATGTCCCAAAATTGAATTAATAGTTACAGAGCTTTGGTGTGTACACAAAAGATACAGCTGTAGAGTTTACACACACTTATGCCAAAGAGATAGTGCAGACATGAGCAGTCAGAAAAGTCACAGCACTACAACTGACTTGCTAGGACTCCACAATAATCTATTAATCATTTATTAAGTATCAATTAATCATTAAGTCCTCCTTAATTTTTTATGAGCGTACTTCTAACAAAATCTACACTCAGACCATGAGTTTGAAAATTTCATAACTGTTTTGGAGGAGCTGCAGTGTAAGGCAAGCTGGCCACAGGCTCTTGTTACCTGTCCACAGAGGAGCCATGGGAACTCAGAGGACTGTTCTCAGTCTTCACAAATCCCATCTGTGGCTTTGGAACCCCATTGCTGTGTGGCAATGAACAGGGTTTAGCAACTTTTAATTTGGGACTTAGCTGAAGGGAAACAAAAATCCAATTAACATTTTTGCTCATGTGAGTCTAATTTTGTTGAGGGCTGAAGGATCAGTGGGATACTGGTCAGAATACTTTGGACTAAATTACATTTTGTCTAAATACAATGCTCTGTTGAAAGCAAAATATTTCTTAGATTTATCAGATTAAACGAGGTTTCACAGTACTGCACTACATTCCCTGGGCAATTCTGAGGGTAAGGACAGACACTTGTTTAAGCTTTACTAGGGAGAAAGGACAGTAAAAAAGCCTAGATAAGCAGGTGCTGGAATAAAAAAAAAGAGGTATTTACTTATGTTTAGCAACAATATCAGAAAGGTTTCATATTTATTCCAATGTAATATAAATTTTAAAACAAGCAAAAATTAATTGTCAAATGGAGTCATTACTCTGTAGGCAGCTGCAATCACAGGACTGAAGATAGCCTTGGCTTGGAAGATGGTATGAAGTTAGTTTTGGAGCTTTGGAGAGTGGTGAAACAAAAAAAATTGAATGTATTCCTTTACTTAAACAGTGACTGCACATGCAGTGAGCACAGGTGAGATCAGAGTTACCTGATGAGAGTGAAAGTTTCACACTACCCACTGCAGGGATTGCAGCAGCTCTCAGGTGTCCTTTATTTCTGGAAAGATCAGGCTGCCAAAAACTCTTTTCAAACTGGTGAATTCCTCAGGCCAGGGACCAATACTTTCAAGAGATCTTAGCTCCACCAGCAGGTTTTGAATCTCAACGTACTTTCATAAATTAGAAATTAGCAGGAAACAGAAAAAGGATCATATTCCTATGCCTCTATCATGAAACAACAGGCAGATGCTGAGTCTCCTTACAGCCTCAACAGAGTTTGCTGGGATGATTTTAATTATGCATGTGCTGCTTGCTCTTTATGTATTTATTAAAAACTATTAAAAACGGTAAAATCTGTATTAATATGCTTGTATTGGTTATGACAGATCATTATGAATCAATTTAAACTGAACAACTCAAGTGATATACAATTAAGCCTTACTTTTTAAACTGATTTTTCCTAACTACGCATGTAAGATAATATATACCAGTATTCACAACTTCAGAACACGACGCAGAGGGCATTTCATCTTACTTCACCCATTCTTTCTATGTACACTTGTGCAGATTGCTCCCCAGTTCTGCTTGCTCACCCCAGCTAGGTGCAGGACACCTGCCACAGCCCAGCAGCAAAGAAAGGGGAGCCTGGCCTGTTTACTGTGCCTGTTTTGCCTCTCCAGCCCCACAGCAACCATGTGTATCAGTTCATGGTCAAATAATAAACAGACAGACTTCCATGCTAATTAATGCTCAAGATACATCTAAAGACAGCACTAACAGGAAGCAGACTCAAATGCCATTACTAGACCAGATTTCCTGCCTTGTTTCTGTTAATCACCATTGGCTAGCTCCTCCTAAGCCACACAAGGTTAAACAAGCACTACTGATTTTCGATTGCTGAATGTGGCCTAATTTTGGATGGCACCGAAGTAAGTTACACCATCACACTGGAGGCTCCAGTTGTCAATACATGTAACAGTTTTTAATTCAAATCACCAATTCTGGTCAGTCGTAAGCAGACATGCAGTAAGAACTCTTGCTTTAAGATTAACTCGTGACTCAAGCCACAATACTCCCTCTTTCCTTGTGAACAGTGAATCTTTCAGGCAATACAAGCACAATGTTTGTAATAGAACTGTTTGCTTTCCCTAGAAAGCTGAAGTGAAAACACTAATTAGGACAGCACAGACATTAAAATAAAGCTGGAAACAATTTTCCATTAACAGAAAGGATTGTTTGTAGTTACAAACAGTGGCTTTTGACTCACAACATTTCTGAGAATGTGGATCAGTTAGCTCATCAAGCATTTCCATTTCTTAGCTATTCAGGTAATTCAGCTTTCAAAGATCTTCATCTTTCATCATTACTGACAACAGTAATGGTGCAGCTCTGCCCTTTAACATTCACCTACCCCAAGAAAGGGGTCAGGAGCTTCTACATGGCCTTGCCAGCTTCCAGCATGCCCATTTATGACTTATTATGGGTACGACTGGATGCAGGTAAGCAGCACTTCAGTTGTGTTGGAAAGCAGCCACAATACCCCAAGGTTGCCCAGCATCATGTTTGGGTAGGCGCAGGAAATGTTAAATGCAAGTTAACAGTGCAGTACAACCTTGTCACACTGATCCTCTGCCATATCTATGCTTCAGAAGGAAGCACATAAAACTGCTTCCTAAAGAGACTCAAAGTAAACAGGCAGAAAAAATGAGGACAAACTATCTACAGTTCACATTTTTGCAAACTACTCAAACGAAATCAAGCAAGCCTCATACTGCCTGCAGTAATAAAATCATGAAAGTGTTATTATAAACTGTATCTAGCCATGAAAATGTATATCCACATGAAATGTAACTCCTCCTTACTTAAAAATTATGTAAAACTATGGAAGTGGTAATAAGTTAAACCAAGTTTTGAAACAATGCATAGCACTGTGATGAATGCATCATCTGTTCTACTATGCCACTGCAGTGAGCTGTGCATGAAGTTGAAATGCTACAAGTGGATCACAGCTGGGAAGAGAACAATAAAATGTACATAATTCTATATCACATGATAGAAACACTGACACTCGATTCCCCATATTGCTTGGTCCAGTCCCTCGCCATCTTTCACTAATTCACCTCAGTGATGTTCTTGCAGACTGCTAATCCAATGTCTGACTTTTTATTCAAATCATGTTCTCTTAAAAATACGTCTGAATAACTTAGTAGTTTTAGATAAGGGAAAGAAGATTGTTAATATATTTAAGATGAATTAATCATGTACTCAAAGGTTTGTGTACAAAAGGCTGGCATACTGAAGCAGCGTAGCTTGTTGGAGAGGCAATAGTTGATAGCATGTGCAAATGAAAGAGAATTACTCCTTGTGTGGGCTGGGAAAATTGTATCACAACGGAAAAAAAGAGAGATTTTGCAAAATGTAAAGCTAAGTGTGTTTTCCATGGAAAGTGTTGGTGTTAGTTCTTAATAAAAGATCTCAAACTATTATTACCTGATTCGCACACTATGGAGCCTGGCTTCAGTTCTAACATCATGGTGATTACAGAGATGTCAGTGGAATACAGGATCTGTGTCCTGTGTGGAAGATTCACAGTCCACAGTTCTGGAGTTGGATGAAGAATAAAAACCCATCCTCCTTTACTGCAGGTCACTTTGGAGCCATACTTCTTGCCTATGAGATCTGTAGAATGCCGGATGACCCCATATTTAGTCTGAGTTACACTGCCTTGCTGGACTTTCACAGGAAACATGGATTCGTGGCCCAAGAACACAATAGCTGTGTCACCATCCTTGATTGTATCGCCATATTCAACAAAACTCATTGCAACAGTCTTGCGGTTGGCTGGTGGTCGTCTCCTAGAAAGGGACAAATGCCAAGACAGTGTTATGGTGTCACGATGAAGCTGTAAGTACAGACAAGTTATTTTATTTCCCCAATATTAAAGAAAAAAAGAAAAAAAAAAAGACACACCGTGCAAGTAAAATGTTAGCAAGAGAACCCCTCATGGAGCCCAGGGACCTCCCCTCAATGCACTCCTCACCCAATTAAAATCAACAAAAAGATCTCACTGACTTGAACATAACCACTATTTGTACCATTGTATGGTACATTTACAAGCAAAAATTAGCAAATCTGTTAGCATTTACTCAGCCTGCTCCCTAATGCCACTGGGAAACTTGCAAGGCAGTATTGATTTCAGCAATCTGTTTGGTTCCAGTTCACAAGCTCTCAGAATATGTTGTTAAGCAGTGACTTTTATTTTCTTCTGGTGACTTATCCCTTGGTGATTTTACAGTATGTGACAACTGTGACCTGCCTGGATCTCAATCACCAATTATTAGGACCACTAGCAAAAGTTTACCTGAAAGTTTTCCAAATGAAGCTTGAGAGATAACATAAAGGTAGTATCCGCATTAATTTAGGTATAAATTTGACTAAGTACAAAGAAAAAACACTGTGGCCTTTAATTTGCCATTGGGGGTGTAATGTGATTGTCTGGGAAGTGATCCATGCTGCAGCTGAACGTAAACAATCTCTTGCCAGCTAGTGCAAACACACTGTATTGTTTTAGCCCCATGTTCTGCGAGCAACAGTCTTAAATGTTGTTGTCTTGGAAAAGAAAACCTCGAAATGAGAAGGAAGCTTACAATAAAACCTGGCGCTGCTTTTCAGATAAGGCAGCTAACAACCTAAGCTGCAGGCTGATCTATTCATGGAAAGAATTGTGTAATGTGGTGATCCCAAAGTTAGAGATTAAAGTCTATGACAGAGGGCTCTGGGAGTTTGATTCCCGGTAGCTGGACAAGAAAATTAAAAGCAGCATTACTTTTCACAGAAAAACAGAATCACGGAATTGTTTGAGTTAGAAGAGACCCTTAAAGGGCATCCAGACCAACTGCCCTGCACTGAACAGGGACACCCACAACTCCAGCAGGTGCTCAGAGCCCCATCCAGCCTGACTTTGGCTGTTTCTTAGGACAGGGCATCCACCATCTCCCTGGGCAACCTGTTAATGATTTGATTCCAGTGCTTTCTTATTGAATGTGTACAAGTTTTGTCCTACTTCTCTGTTTTTACTAAAACCAAAAACCTTTTAGTTCTGAAATTGTAGTCTATTTTTCTTGACCAAAATTTGAGTTCAATCTGCTGTTCAGCAGCTAGATTTATAAATGTGCTGCTACAGTGAGAATGAGAGGCAGACATGCTGGTAGGCCACGATTCCAAAGCGTAAGGCATGAGGTGTCGGTGCTCGTACAGTAAAGCACACCAGGCATGTCTGGACACAGGGTAACACAGCTCAGAAATGTACACACACCGGACACTGTCAGACGGCAGTGATGAGTTTTATAGCTTGCACCATCGGATTATACCGATGTTCTTAACTCTCCTGTAATAAACACTATTCACGAGTTGTTGTTTTCAGCTCGTATTTAGAAGAATACCATTTGTAAGCAGCTCCGATTCCACCTCATCTACACGTCTTCCTTTGAACCCAGCCCCGCACTCACCGTCCCCCACGCCCGGCCCTGCAGTGTCCCCTCTCCTACAGTGTCCCCAGCCAAACGCCTGAGGGCCGCGCGTTGCCGACTGCGAACAAAAGATAACACGCGGTGGCCGCTCGGCCCGCAGCAGCGCAGCGCGGTAACCGCCGCGCTCGGCTCTACGCAGCGCCGCCGCCCCGCAGGGCCTCCCCGCGGGCGGGGGGCTCGCGGTCCCCCAGCAGCGCCGGCTCTGCCCGTCCCCACGGCCGTTACCTCCCGCGGCCGAGTACCGCTAGCAGGCCCGGCTCGGCTCTCCTCACACGCGGTGCCCGCCCCGCGCCTTCCCGAACCGGTCGCAGGATGCTGACGACGCTCCGCCGCCTCCGCCCCCGCCGGTCCTGCCCGTAGCGGCCGGTCACCGTGGCCCGTACCCGGCTCGGCCGGCCGCGCTCCCGGCGCCGCTCCCTCGCCCTCCGCCGCCCGCCCCGGCCGCCGTCCGTCAGCGGAGCCGGGCGTGGGGAGCCCCGCGCACGGTGGCTCCTGCGTGGGGGGCGAGGGGCGTGCGGCCGGTCCCTGCCTGGTGCAACGAGAGGTCCCTAGGGGCGCTGGGAGGCTGGACGGCCCTTCCCGGCTTCTTCCCTCCGAGCACCTCCGCGGGCGCCGATAGCTACGAGCCCGGGGAGGATCTCACGTTCGCCAAGTGCGGGCGATTGACTTCTGCCCCTTCCCCACGGAACGGCCGTGCCTTTGCCACCCGAGCCTCCGTGCAGGCGGCTTCCAGAACGTTCCAGCTACTTCCCCTGCGGAGCCCGGGGAAAGGCAGCTCGAGGCCAACCGAACTCCTCGTGCCGGTTTCTGGAGGCTGGAGGAGAAACCCACAGCAGAGTGTGGGCTCAGAAGGAGCGGAATCATCGAAACCCCAAATAGCACGGCTCTAACTCCTACTTGTGTCTCGTGTTTAGGATTGCAGTGATGTGGAGAGCCGGAGGTGCCCCGGTGGCGCGGGGATGGAGTCAGGAGATGCCCAGGAGGAGGATATCGCCTCATCTGCTGCTCCAACAAGCCCAGGCCACCTGGCATGGGAGGGCGCGGGCACAGCAGATCTGAGTCACCTCGGACACGCAGGTAACGTTCTGTCTAAATCAGATAATCCTCTGCTGCTGCGTTCACCAGTGGCTTGAGATGCACAGGAGTGGAGAACAAGTCATTCCTCCATAATCAAGAACGCCATCAACGTATGCTTAGCTGAGAGCTGTGTAGATGACCGTTTGTGAGTCTTTTTTATCCATGTGATTTCATCAACTGTGAGGGAAAATTTGCCCATTATCTTCAGTGAGAACATTTTTATGTTATGCTATTGACCCGCCCGTATCAGAGTTGCAGAAGTCTTTGTTATTTAGTTATGAAACTCCTCCATCTCATCTAAACATAATGTATGCAGTTTCAGAGGTTTCTTAAACTGCAGACTCCTACTCAGCTGTTTTTCTGACTGGCAATCACAGCTCTATTCTGCCTTTATATCTGCACCTACCTTGTTTTTTTTTTATGTGTCATTTTTTCACGTCATTTGCCGTAGTTTATATTCTTGTGTCCTTTCTTTCCCTTAAAAAACTGCTGTTCAGATCACTGTGAGCCTGACTGTATACAAGACCAAACAGCTCCTAGTCTTCAACTAGGAATTGAAGCAATTTTCAACAGGACGCTCAACCAATGTGAAAAGGGATAATAACAAGGCAGATATACAGAAAGCAGTAAATGGGAAGAAAATATTTGGGAATTTAAGCAGATGCAGCTACAACCAGTTCACCTGTTGATGCACGAGTGTTACGTTTCATTTTCAAGTGCTGTTTACTCAGTAAGTAAGGCTTGGGAAACAAGGCAGTTATACGCAGTAAAATGTTTTCTTTTGCTATTTCCTGATTTGGAAATATCCTTCTAGATTTTCAGTATGTTTCCCCTGAATTCTTCAGGTTCATCTTGCTATCACGTGAGCAATTTCAGAAGACACATTCCCTAGCTAACACACATCTCCTTGCAGTTGTACACTGCACAACATTCATAATTAAGCCTCTTAGGAAGTGTTCACTGCACGGCCCATGATTAACTTCCCTTCATTCTTCATTGTTGAAGCTCAGCACGCAGATCTCTGCAGTAATCACCCCACCTTTCCAGCCTAAAATGCCAAACTGCATCATAGTTCACACATCAGTGTGCACTACAATATCGTCCCATGGAAAGGACATGTTGATGCCTTTATCACAGTCTAACAGGCAATACAGGCTGATCCAAGGAAAGTATTCTCTCAGCAGATGAGCTAGATAAAGCAGTTGATCAGAGGCTGTTGACACACAGTACTGCATCTATAATTAAGCCACTAGGGAAGCAGGGATGGGATACCGTAACAGAGGTAGGATCCAGTTTGCACACAGCTTTCAGCAGATCTCAAAATATAAGCTAAGAGTGTATTACAAATTTGTCAAATAACGGTGAGGAAAAGGGCATGAGGGTGCAGTGTTCATTTAACGTGTTTGCTAGGTATATTTTGATGGTGTCCCACCATGGCTCTGCTCTGTCTGTGTCTTCTTTCAGACAAAAGCTGTGTGAAGGAGAGGTGTGTATGTTGGAAGTGTGATAATGAATGGCACATTGAGAACACAACCGACTCTTAATAACTGTAACAACTGGTGTTCCCTGTTCGGCAGGATGGGGAGGGAGAGTGTCTCCAGTGCAAAGAAGTGAGTTATTGAGGTAACCTTGATTCCACAAATGTATAACACAAGTAAGTGACAGTTGCTTCTTGTGTGCGTGGCAGTAGATTATGGAACGAGACAGACGGAGCCTTCAGTAGCTCTTTAGTATGGGTTTTATTGGGGTGAAGAAAAACACCAGAAAATAAGCTTGTAAGGTTACAATATGTTCTTAGTATTACTTGTGTTGTTCTTGTATTGTTCTACATTAAAAATAACTCTGACGAGTGTTTTACATTAAGAAAAAAAACAAAACCACACAACTAGAACTTGGCAAAAAGAAGAAAAAGTGTTGTAACTCAGATCATCCATGAATACGACATGTATTTTGACAACTCTGGGAATGATTTTTACGCTTACGTTCATTGAATACTTGCATAGGAGGGCTTTACCTGTAGTTGACACTGTCCTGAAGAACGGGCATTGCGTGGAACTAGTGAGATGTAGGGGAAGATTTTGTGAGGTTAAAAAGGCAGAGGGGACTTAGAGAGGATTTGTTCTTTGATCTCGGAGATAAGAGACCAGACTTGCACAGACGCTCAGCCCGACTTCTGAAGCTCGTTTGCTCTCACTGTACCTGGGATAACTGGGAAGCCTGGATGGCAGCCAAACACAGTGCATTTTTATTCGAGGCAGTCTGAGCTTTTTAGTTTGTAATGGTTTCCTGTGCATTTATTTTTTCCCTGAAGCTGGACAGTTCTGTAAGTTCTGCATTGGTGTCATGGTGCTGAGGGCACTGGTTGTGGTGCTGGAAGAATCACGGTGGGGACGATTCCTCCATCTCTCTGACACAACTCTAACACAGCAATTAAATGCGCAGTCCGGGTGCGGGGGATGAAGTATGAGATAAATGCACTACAGAGAAAGATAAAGAGACTGTTACGTGAAGGGCAGCTCCAGGTTGCCGTTCACTTCTCCAAAACTGAACTCTGGGCTGCATAAGGTTTTTGGATGAGCCCTGCGCAGCAACAGTCACCGCTGCCTGAATGTGAGCATAGGATGGCTCAGATGCCCTTCTGCACCTGTCCCCACAGGAAAATCAGCCCTTCTTCAATAAAATTCAGGTACTTTCTTTGCACACGACAAAAAGAGACCTTCAGTGCGTTACACAATAAGCCTATGTTCAAATCTGAGCAAGGGTGAAAGCAAAAAGCCATGTGCGCCCGCCTCGGTGCCTAACGGCGCCGCCATGTTGAGGCTGCCGGTGGAACGGATGTACGTGCACGTCTGCGTTCACGAGATCACGACGCTCACCGCTCCGTGCCCGAGGCAGGCGGGCCGCGAGGCCAGCGCCACCGGCCGCCCAACCGCCGCGCAAAATGGCGGCACGCCTTCACCGGCCAGGAGGAGCCGCTGGCTCCGCCCCCTCGCGGCTCGACCAATGGAATGAATGGGCTATAAATAGCAGCCAATGGGGCGGTGGGTCGCGCTCTATATAAAATGGGCGCGGCGGTTGACTCGGGGCTCCACTCCGGCTTGGGCAGCGGGTGGGTGCGGAGCGGGCGCTGAGGTCCTTGCATTTACTGCGGAGCCCTCGGTAAGTCCCGGGGCAGCCGAGTCGTCTGCAGCTTAAAGAAAAGAAGGAGGAAGCGGTTTAACTTTTATGAGAAAAAATGTATTTTTAATGGTGCGGGTTGGAGCCGGTTCGGCCGGGAAAGCGTCGGGGGGAGCGGGATGGGGCGGTGCGGGACAGGTGCGTACCGGGTGCGGCCGCAGCTTGAGCCGGAGCCCCGCTCTGAAAGCAGTTTACCCCGGTATTTAGCAGGGTAGTTACATACGCTCGCCCCAGCCACGTCCCTCGAGGGAGCCGTCCGTTGTGTAACGGCTCGGTGAGCACTGCCCTCTCGCCCCGCTCCCCAGCTTAGCGCTGTCGGTACCGGCGCCGGGCGCGGCGCTCCCCAACGGCTGCTCCGGCTGGGGCTGCCCCGCCGCTTTGGTCGCCGCCCTGCGTCCCGGCCGAGCCCCGGAGCGTCCGGACCGGGTACCGAAGGATGGGGCAAGGCTTGCGGAGCTAGAAGAAGTTTCTTTTTTTCTTTTTTTTTTTTTTTTTTCCTTTCTCGCTTGGTGTCGAGGAAGGTGTTGTGGCAACGAAGGTGTGGATTGCGTGGGGTGGAAGCAAAGCCAAGGTGACCTTGTTGGTGCCTGGTGGCCTCCCCTGGTGATAGGCTTCCCTCTCTTCCCCCAGTGATTGCGGTAGGGACAGCCATGCCCTTCTCAAACAGCCACAACCTCCTGAAGATGAAGCACTCCGCTGACGATGAGTTCCCTGACCTGAGCGCGCACAACAATCACATGGCCAAGGTGCTGACCCTGGACCTGTACAAGAAGTTGAGGGACAGGCAGACTCCCAGTGGATTTACGCTGGATGATGTCATTCAGACCGGGGTTGACAACCCAGGTAACGGCTGCACCCTTAGGACTGCAGGGCGGTCTGCTCCCCCTCCTTCCTGGAAGTGCTGAAGTGCTCCTTGACAGCAAGCCCCACACGCAGCCAGGGACGGCTGTGCTGAGGAGGCCACGATTTGCGGAGCCCTGCTCCTCGCTGCAATCTGACACAGCAATTCCCAGGCGTTCCTATTATGTAACTGCTCTGCTAAATACTTCAAATCTGAACTAAAAAAAAAAAAAAAAAGCAAATGCTCAAATGTGTT